TGTGTGTGTGTGTGTGTGTGTGTGTGTTTGTGTGTGTGTGTGTAGACATAATAAAAATTACTGTCGTATTTTTGGAAACGATTACGTGCATCTATTTTCTATTCTTTGCGTTTTCCTGCTGTGCTGCAGTCAAAAATTCGTTGTGCAACATTTTGTCAAATATTTTCTTAATTATCTAAAACAGAATCTCTAGCTTTTGCACAATGACTTGTATCAATTTGTTTTAAATCAATTTTATATTCCTGTATTCTTTTAAATTCCGCTTAATAATTACTAATACTAATACAAAATCCAAGTGGGTGGTTTCTACAGATTTTCAAAAGTTTACAGCTAGAACAATATCGCTATTAAAAGCAAGTCCATCATTTTTTCTCAAAACATGACCCTTTCTTTATTGAACGCATATTTTGATGATTTTTAATGCAAAAAATGTGTAAGCAATAAAAAGTGTATTTCTCGTAACAAGTTTTGCTTCAAAAGAATGCCATTGGTGAGCTGTGACTTATAATGCTGTAAAAACTTCGTAGCTCAACTTATTGTTCCACATCTCCTTAACGATCGAACACAGATTCTCCAACTTTTGCACAAGACTTATATCATATTGTCTAAACTCTAAACATACAAATATTTTTTTCAAACACCTGTACACTGTATTCTAGAAATTTCCTTCATAAATACTGAAAATCCCAGTCAATGGTTTCTACAGATTAAAAAAAAATTTACAGCTGAGGCAATATCGCTTTTAAAAACAAGTCAGTTTTTTTTGCAAACACCAAAATTATACTTATTGAACGCATGTTTTCAGAAACTTAAGTGCAGAAAACGTGATCACTGTGACATCAATTTCTTGTAACAAGTTTTACAATTAAAAAGTGTCCTAGGTGAGCTGTGACGTAGGCCATATGCGTACGCAAAATGTATGTGAGAAGTAGGAAGTGCTGTGAACACTCCCATTTCCGGCGTGGCGGAGATTTGTAGTATTTTATATAAATTTACGAAGAAACGTTTTTTAACCTAGCAATCATTTGCTGAGGAAAAATATAATTAAGACAAGATAAATTGACAAAAAAAATGTTATACAAAGTATGGATGACATTGATTTACCCGTTATAAAGGTATTTGAGGATAAATTGTGCCATACATTTTTGAACTCACTATACATCTCAGGGGTAGTTGACTGCAGGTTTGCAACTGATTTTTACGTATGAGACCGTTTTGCCTACTTCTTGGAGCCCTTGCCTTCAGGTAGCTTATTTCCGATGTTAAAGGTACTCTATAATATGTTTTTATACTGGCAAGGATATTTTCAGTTTTGGTAGGAATTAATTAGAAATTCGCCCGGATTGTGGCCGAATACCTCACTTATCGATTTTAAGACCACCAAAGGATCTTTGACTTTGCCCATACTCACACAGGGAACCTCCGAGAACATTATCACTTATCCGATAAAGGTGCAGTATAGTGTTTCTAATGTTTTGGGCGAGCAGAAATCGGACACACGATGGGCTCACAACATGCCTACGTCTGAAACGAAAGAGAATAGAAGGCGGATCTATGAGGAGCTTCTGATTCATTACACACGGAAAGATGATGAGCTTCTCCAGTGCATTGTCAAAAGGAGCCGAATTATGGCTTTACCACTGTGCACCCCCCCTCCCCCCCAAAAAAACAACACCTACAACACCAACACCAACAACAACAAAATACAACAAAACAAAAAACCCAAACCAAACCAAAACAAGCCAAACGGAACAAAAACAACAGCAACTGCCCCTCCCAAAACGAAACAAATCAAAACCACAAAAGACCCTCCTTTCCTCACTGCCATCATGACAATGCTTGCCCCCCTCACGACCCAAAAATCTCAGACCACCCTTATGCCACTCAGATTCCACGAGGTTTTGTCACATCATTCTTATAGTCCAAAATCAGATCTAGTTCCATCTGACTTCTTTCTTTTTCCAAAGCTTAACCCCATTCACTGTTACGGCGATGTTGAGCTCACGTCTCCTCTGTGTGCTTTCAGTGACCGTATTTCGGGTGACTCTACTAAACGTAATGTATTTCTTACCCTATCCCTACGCCCTGGGGTCATTTTGTACCTCAGGGGTTATATTCTTCACATTTTAGAATACTTCTAGTACGAAGATCTCTTGGAAACTCAGTATTTCTAAAATAATCATTTTGACAGACTGCTATGAAAAGCGTACGGATCAGATTAACGAGTAAACTTCCTCTTTGGAAAGTGGTGACACAGAGTTCCGCGCGTCGTATGGATACGATAGTAAAACACGACGTACGGATAGTGTTAATAATGTCAGAGTCAGATGATCCAGAATGCATTTAGCTTTAAATTTGCATACTGCATGAGTGGGTATACAGTATATATATACGTACATATTATACTCCATCCTTCCCCAGCACCCCCCCCCTTCCACTCTTTCCATCTTCCTATTCCCTCCTCCCAGTCCCGCCTCTCCCCTTTTCCTTTTCTCTTTTTCTCAACCCCCTCCGCCCATTCCATATCCCAAACCCCCGCCCCATTGTCATGTTCCCTCATATTCCTGACTCCTCATCCCACCTGTACCCCCCATCCCCTCCCCACTCCAAAATTGCCCACAGGTAGCAGTACTGATGCCTCAGTTAATATGTCATTGGCTAGGGCACTACCACTGCTTCGTCCACAATTAGTACTTTAGATGATTAAGTTTTGTTGGTGAAAGAACTTAGTTTCATTAGATTTAATAAAATATTAAACATAACGAATATATTTAAATTTGTTCATTGTTAAATGTTTGGTCCTTTGCACACGCCATGTTTAATCACAGTAGGTCGATTCCTATTGACTACCTTTTGAGACGTAACCCTAGCACATGTTAATAGAAGACAATCAACACAATAATAGAATGTAAGCATCTCGACTCGCCTTATTTCTGCACATTTACATGTCTTATTTTTAATCACTGAAGGGTGGTAATTAGGTTTTTTAAAACTGACCAACCAAGTTGGATTGGCTGAGGAAAAAAAATCAACAGTTTTGAGAGTCTGCAAAGGGGGGGGGGGAGGTGTGGAGTTGGGGGGGGGGGGGGGAGGTTGTAACCATACGAGATCAGCTCACTGTCTCTTTCTTTGTGTGGTTTAGAGTGTTGACGGTTATTGGGCCGTAGGTGGAGAGGGGACAACGACGATACCAAACTCCAAAAATCTAATTTTTAAAAAGTAGCCTACAATGAGTTATTTTTGTCATCATAAACTAAGATTTATGAATGCAGGAACGTGCTTTTTCTTGAAGATTTGCTTTGTCACTCAGTTCTCGGACCTGGCATTGAAGGGGTTAAGAATACTTTTTTCTTTCTTCCTTTCTTCCTTCCTTCCTTCCTTCCTTCCTTCCTTCCTTCCTCTCTTTCTTTCTTTCTTTCTGTCTTTCTTTTCTTCTTTCTAGGCGTTGTCCGTCCACTACAACAACGACCTCCACTCTATCTTTTTATCAGATGTTTTCCGTGTCCATGGTGTACCAGTCTGCTCATTGATGTCATCTTGCCACCTTCCTTTTGGACTTCCTCTTGATCTTTTCCCTGTTCTTGGTCTCCATTAAGTGCGTTGTTTTGTCCACCCTTTGTCTTTTACTCTGCCAGTGTGGTCAGCCCATTTCCATTTTTGTCGGAGTGTAAATAAAGATAATATATTAAAATGAAATCAACATGATGATGCAGAATTCAAAACTAGTGTGGAAAATGGTGCAAAGGAAAACCGCTGTCTGCCTGTCTGTCTGTCTGTCTGTCTGTCTGTCTTTCTGTCTGTCTGTCTGTCTGTCTGTCTATCTGTCTGTCTGTCTGTCTGTCTGTCTGTCTGTCTGTCTGTCTGTCTGTCTGTCTCCGTCTCTGTCTCTGTCTCTGTCTCTGTCTCTGTCTCTGTCTCTGTCTGTCTCTCTCTGTCTCTCTCTCTCTCTCTCTCCATCTCCCTCTCTCTCTCTCTCTCTCTCTCTCTCTCTCTCTCTCTCTCCCCTTCTCTCTCTTTCCCTGTGTTTGGACGACGTGATGCAGAAACCCTTTGTTGGTTAGCACACCTGTGTTGACAGAGATGGGAATTGTGTGGGGGAGAAGTAGGTACGGTCTTATAATAAACAGTTAAACTTTAATTTAGTCAAACATTTATTGTGGAGTGATAATTTTTTTTTCGGAAATTATTATTTAGAAGGCAAGACTTTTCGTCAGTCAGCTCACGTTTTTTTTAATAAATCAGCGTCTGTGGCAACATTTATGTAGTCGTTAAGGACGCTTTCTGGAAATGTATTATCTTTGACCACATTCCAGATATTCCAAATTGTTATTTTTTTAATCACGCCGTACTAAAACGACGCCAGTCACATCAACGAGCTACATAATATTGTTGAGTGAAGACTGCTGGGGTCTTCTATGAGGCTAACCATGCACAGTGAAGCCCAGTCTGCAAAAATGTTTCGTAGTGCTACTTTTGGAAAGAATGTGAAGTTACAAATGCGAAAAAGGTCATTTGAAGACTGTCCTGTAGGTCTGGGGCATTTTGCCTAAATTTCAAGTCCTATGATTATATAGATATTGTGAAGCACGAAGTCAGCTGCTTGGAGTGTGATATCTGTCGTTGTCACATCTGTACCGTCTGCTTCTTCCCCTACTTCTGCGGAGTAAATCGCTTCTGCTGTGTGCTCACTCGCAAACTTGAAGCGTTCCCTGCATGGGACGATGGGTTTTGGAAGGGAGCGGAAAGATATGGGGGAGGGTGTTCTAGAGAAAGAGGGATGAAAGGGGAGGGTCTGGAGGGCGGAGAGGGGAAATGGGGGGGGGGGGGGTTCAAGGGGTGAAGAGAGGTGGGGCGCACGCGAGCGCTCAACATAACGCCATCATCAATAATGTGGGTCAGTCGGTGGGGAGCGGAGCGTCTCGACAGGCGGCGTGAGGGGTTCAGGCACGAGAGAAGAAGGAAGGAGAGAAGGAGCCGCGCCAGAGTTGCAGCGAATGCCGCTGCTGCTACGGCTGTTCCTGCCGTGGGCAGTGGTGATGGCACAGATGAAGGGACAGTTTAATCACTGAACACGGTCCACGTTTGGGAGCGGCGTGCGCGGAGCTTCGACAAGGCTTGCGTGAGTATGGCCGGTTATTATTCATCATTCTATTTCTATAGAGTTGAAGCAATGACCTGTTATGAGGACATTTTATCCTTATGATTGATTGATTGTGGATGTATAATACCCCTGTCTAGACTATTGTGAATGTATAATACCCCTGTCTAGACTATTGTGAATGTATATTACTCCTGTCTAGACTATTTTGATCATTTAGGAGGCGGGCTGCTTCGTCACTACACGTCATGGTCCACACGTGCTAAAGGGTATGCAGAATCTCAGCTGTCAGACTGGGATGCTCAGTGAAGTTTATTATCTTCTAGAGAATCGAACTCAATATTCGTCTGCATTATAAGACAGAGAAGACATTCCACAATAGACACCGTTTCGCTACCTTAAAATTATAAAGTTCTAGCTGCTCAGTACCTAGTTTTGAAAAATTTGACGTTAACTTTTTTGAAATTCATAGCATGCCAAGCTTAAGAATTTTTTAAAATATCTTGATAACAGCTTTGAATTATTCTATGATTTTAATAGAGCAGATAAAGATTCCTAACATCACGGTCTCAGTAACTTAAAACGGCCAAAAATGTGAGATAGAATTTTGTCATGCCAAGATTGCAAGTTGTTTATCATTATACCTTTACGAGTATACAAGAGTTAAATGTGGTACAACAAGGGTATTGTTGTTTTATGTGTTCCTCTTGTGATGGTTATTTTCGCAACATCCGCTTTCGATTTCCGACGTCGGGCATCTGTTGTTTCACGCCAGCAGGTCCTTTACATTCCAACTCAGATGACTCCACTTCGGTGAGCAAATTATTATGGTGTAAGAGCAGGGGAAAATGTAGGAGACCAAATACCTTAAAGATAATCTACTACAAGTAGAATGCCATTACGATTTTTAATTTCACTGTTCTTTACTTTTTGGTATATGGACCAATGGCCAACACTTTAACTTTTCCCCACTGAACATCCGTAATGTTCTCCATGATATTTTTAATAAGGCGTATTTTTTAGGATTTCTGTAGCTCGAGACAGGCAAGTGTGTAAAACATCATGTGATGCCAGTATTCCAGTGTGCGCAAGACCCTGGCGACTGTGTAAATTGCTCAAACATGTGGTTGACGCGCACATTCCTATACTATATATATATACTCATTTCCAAAAGAAACTTGACATAAAAAATAGTGTTAGATAAAAAATAAACCATTGCAGACACAGGGACAAAATTTTGCATGTAAAAGGAAGAAGTATTTCTAGATTTGAAAACCTGTATTTTAATGCACATAATACACACCTGGTGCTTCAAGCCTCTCCTGAAATGATAAGGTCCAAATTCAAAAAGTCAGAAAATGTGCGTTCTTCCACCTAGAAACTTTACATTGACATAGTAATCCTAAATTATGGTTTTCGAAATGTCTGATAGCAAAATACACTGGTACTGGTCAAATCTAAAGCATTTCAAGTCATGTCTGAAAGTTCGGCAGGATCAATATCGTGTGTGACCGCCGCCTGCAACAATGACGGCGCGGCATCTGTGCCGCGTAGAGTTGACGATGTTGGAAATTTGAAGTTGTGGGATAGCGTTCCAAGCATTGGTTAGGCTTTGAATCAACTGAGCGTTGTTCTGAGGAGCGGCATTCATCTCTTGGTTTTGAGGCCCGAGAATATCCCACACATGTTCAATCGGGTTCATGTCGGGAGGTACTGCTGGCCAGGGATGGATGAAACCGAATTGTTTGTTGTTCAAGGTAAGCTTGTGTCACCCTGGCACGATGGGCTCGAGCGTTGTCCTGTTGTAAGGTGTAGCCTCGATGGTTCTGCACAAACAGTGCCGCACGTGGTTACAAGATGGTGGCTACGTAGTTGACGCTATTCTGTGATGTCGGAGCATGTACCAGTGCCGTCCTGTGGTCTGTTGTGATTCCGCCCCAGACCATCACCTGCCCATATCCCCGGTTAGGGATTTCATGTACACACTGGTCAGCAAACCTTTCATTTCGACGGCGATATACCCGCACTCGACCATCGTAGCGACCTAGGACAAATCTAGACTCATCTGTGAAAAGGACCCGAGAAGAATAACTGTCTGTGTGCTCACTGGTTGCTGTTGCGGCAGAGTTCTGGCTGTATGCGAAGCAGACTGGAACTTGTCCCTCAGGTGGGTGGTGCATACCGATCCTGCGCCGGGGTGGTTATCCGCAACCTCCCTGATCTTGGCCGGTCTCTTGTACTTCCTGTGTTCATGTACCTGGTCTGCAGACCGTAGATGGTTTCCCTGCTACAGTTAAAAGTCCTTGCCACTAAAAATCCTTGCCACATCCGCCACGGGAACGACTGCTTCGAGATGCTCTATAGCGCGCCCCCGCTCGTCTGCACTGAGACGCGGCATGGTTGAAAGTCGACATTTTTCTAGATTTCTGAAGTTCGCAGTTCAAATGCAAACGATGTTTTCATAAACTTTTTACACACCTTTTGTAGGTTTTGAAATAAGCTACACATTGATAGCAAAGACTTCACAGAAAACTCATGCTTAACAGAATAACAAGTTAACAAATAAAATCATACCAAACACACAGAATTGAGCGAACTCACTTAGTTGTGTTGTCAAAATTGATTCCGAAGATAGTAAAACCGCCACACTGCACTGTACATAAATATCATCATTATCCGTTTTGATTTAATAGTATTATGTTTAAAGAAAATGTGTGAAGTTTCTTTCGGAAAGGAGTATATAACACGCAGAATGTTGCCCCTCAGCATGGTTTCCGGAAAATTTACTGACCATAATCCCCGACGGCCACTAGGAAATCAGATCTTTTGCGGAGTTGTTTACTTCATGTCATAGTTGAAGTCAAGGCTACAAGTAGAGTTAACGTATGCAAGCTTTGTGAGTCCCGTAAAAAATACTAACAAAGTGACCCCCAAAAATCCCCCCCCCCAAAAAAAACCCAACAACAATAAACAAACAACAAAACAACAAGAACTAAAATAACAACAAAAAAACAAGGACAAAAATTACAACAACAAAGACCCCCCCCCCCAAAAAAAAAAAAAGCAAAACAAAAAACCATTGAAACCCGTTGCACCTGTGCACGCACTAGAGAAAAAACAACATGTTCGTTAGATTAGTGCGACTCTGTTGTTACTTCAGCGGCAATGTTGGAATCACCATCTGCCTTTTTCACCCTGGTATTGGGTACAGACCGCCCTGAAGGGCTCTCCACCTGTCTCTGTTCTTGCCACCTGTGCCCCTATGCCTAAGATCTGACTCCCGGTCGATTTCATTCGTTCCCAGGTTGTTCTTGGCCTTCCTCTCTTCTTTCTTCCTCGGGAGTTCTATCTTAGGCATTGTCTTGTAGCAGTGTTGGAAGAATAAATCATACATTGTTGCTATGGATTGTTTACGGACTAAAGAATGTTCGTGGAACTACATGAGAAAAGAGTTTTAGAGGGTTTATGGAAGGACTGGGTAGCCTCCTCACGAAGTCTCGTTTCTCGTTACATAACAACGCAGCCTCGGGGACACAGGACTAGAAATTAAGCTCTTTTCTTCACCGTGAACGTATAGAGCGTAAGTTCGATTATCGCATAATATGGAAAATATTTCATTATTGGTTGAGATGTTTCCATGCGACCAGGTTTAGTCTTTGCAGACAGGATTAAAATGGTGAAAATAATATTGTGTGAACGTTAAAAATTTTACATTTATTAGATCTATTGCGCAAACTTTTAGATTGATTGAGAGAGCCTCAAGTTAAATGCAAAGCGACGGGGAAACATCTAGTAACATTGAAAGACCCTTTGCAAAAAGAAGATGATTTTTAGCCCAGCAAACAGACAAAAACGTAAATTATGAAGCTATTTTGAGTGGAAGGACATTTTTGTTAAATTTCCTGCTTTCAGAGAGAGAGATTTGTTGACACACTGTAACTCTGTTCCGGATGATGCTCTGTTGTCGTTCGCTGTGAGGTCTCCACGACCTTACGTTTTCACGTAAATGTCACAGAGAAAAGGGGGGGGGGGAAGAATCATTTTTACCGTCTCCTATTCCATTTACTGGCTCACTTTTTGGACACGACAGAAGATTTGGAACCGGCTTCCTCAACCCCTCATGATTTTCAGTTTTCCGCACTAAATCTCTCACGGAAGATGACTCCGCTATCTGAAGTTTTCTTACAATCTGTTTCTCTTTCTCTTCATCCTGCTTACTGCACGGCGCCTTGTAAGCATGTTTCAACCAGTTATGGTGTTTGTGTGACGTGTCCATGCCATTCTTGTGTGCGTCTTTTCTCGGAAGTTGGAACGTCTTTCAAGGGCACCAAAGCGTTTTCTTCTCGGATTTTCACTTCGTCGCAATAAATATGATCCGTGCAAGAGGTGCAAATAATATTTAGAAAACCTACCATCTCTTCGCCCCGTATCCTTCTCATTATGTCTACTGCCACTGTCCTTGACTCAAACATGTAAAGAAATATTGACATTTTCAGTGTACGCATTGGTTTGAGCATTTCGTTTGTGGTGATGTTCTTATCTTTTTAGATGCGTGGAAAGAGCATCTGCTTCACCGACGCATCGTTCAAGTTTATGGGAATCGAATCTCTGGTTGTAAAAGGTGTATATTTGTGAAAACTCATAAATGTGTCTGGTCCAAACTCAGGAGAAAGACTTAAGAGTTACAGCAAGCTGCTGATAGTAGCCGAGATTCTGGAAAATAGTTTTATTTTCGTACCTGTACCGGCATCAGTGGGAGTTTTGCTGTAAGAAACATGAAGACTAGGTAAGCGAGACTTCCTGGTGCTATTTACTGTTGTTTTTTTTGTAGCGTAGGTTCATTTGTCGCTGGTAGACATATTAATTATTTTAAACAAATTTGATAAAATAGATTGTAAACATTTACACTCAAAGTTTAGTTTACTCTCTTTGGACGAATAAGAGTCTTTACCGCCTTTTCCTGTGGTTTTAACAAAAAGTTCAATTAATTGGGAATGTGTAAGAGGTAAGAATAATGCCATAACC